AGTCACAAACTGTTCGCATACTATTAACAAGCAGATAAGCGACATGTTTCCTTTTTTAGGTGCATACTACTTTTAATTATTACTTAGTTTGAAATACACCTAATATCATCCATCACCCGTTTCTATATAACTAATAGGTCGGCGTCTTGTATTCTGGGGGATGTCGATTGTCGGGAAACTAAACACCAATGCAAATAATTGTGTCTCAATATAATTATGGGCATTTGTGCGCACAATGACACTGAGTTTATTTGTTTCTGAATGATGGAAAGAATTTAGTTAATAGTGTTTAGTGTCCTAATATTTAGAAATGATGTTTGATTAGGAATAAATATCTTCTTCAATTATTTTTTTGCCGATTTTGTACAACCAACACGATTCTTTAACATGAACCCTATAAAAGATTTTATTCCGTAGTTCTACAGCCGACATTATTGTCCACCTTTACGGGAGCTTTATGTTTATACACCTATTAGACTATTATTCATCGTCATATATAGTATTTTGTTTGACAGGGTTACTGTACTACATACACTTTTTTTAATGTCAAGTGTTTCTAAGCTACAATTTGAAAATACTTTGTGATAACATGGTATCGTCATTTTATCTGTAGTAATCATAAAACAGTTAAGTAAAAAAATCATTGCAATAACAATACATTTTTAAGTTACTATACCACATATATATAAAGGTGGGTTATAATTCCACCTACTTTGTTTTTTCCGTATTGAAGTTGACATTATCTTTACAATCTGATATGTTGATGATGTAATAATCATATATTATGTGTTTATGTTTCAATGACATATTCAGCTGAACTTGAGATTAAAAAGACCAGAGAAGTTGCTTCACCTGCTTGATTTGTGTCGTGAATTTGACTATAGTGCCAGATTTCTACAAGACAATATGACAAAAGAGATGAAGTTGTCGTTACCTTCACCAATTAGCTCACGCCTTTACAGCGATATCCATTCATTTGTAATATACTATACCATATGATTAATTAATATTTTAAGAACATCACCCATCAATCTATTTAATAGAAATTGTTACAATCTTTAGAAATATGTAAGGGTGGCTTATGATTCTACCTACCTTGTTGTTTTTCCACGGAGAAAACGCGTAGAATCACCAACATGCGTCACACCCTATGGACAAATATCTAATACACTCGTACTCACGTCTCTCTAGTCCGAATTGTAAATCTCATGAATTGTGTTTCAGGATTCTGGTACCAAGTTGTATCAAAGCTACAGTCGCATTCTTTAATCACCAACTGTGAGTATGTCCTAAAATCGTACCCACGACACGAACAAGGAAATTCGACTTATATACTAACTCAATAACCGCCGCAAATTATATATTTTCTTTTGATGTACCTAAAATATCATACCCTCTATTATACTCAATATAACAATAAATATCTGTAACAGCCTACTAAGAGCAATAAGTTAATAAATTATTTTTAACATTTTGCACAATTTGATGAAATTCTTGTGTGTGCACCTGTTTGTTTTAACAATTTTAACAAAGGATTATGTTACGGCACGGAAGATACTGTAACATGTCAAGTTACTATATCGCAAAGAAAACCTTATGTTTATGAATTTATACATGGAACTTTTTTTTGGATTCAGAATGGCATATGGATGCTGCATATGAAGCTCACATTTTTCAAAAAGCACCATGTATACCATAGAGTTCATATACCTCTCCCTCCCTCTTTCTCTTACCGATTTGACAGTGAAGTGTAATGCACTTTTCAGCTAATTATTTCAGTTATGTGGATTACTGTTTCGATAATTGTCCATTATTTTGTGTTCTTTACCTTTACGACTTGTATTCGACGATCTATGTTTCGGGATGTTATTTCTACTGACAATATGTGCAATACGATTTGTGACCAATGAAACAATGAAATATTAATGAATGAAGACAAATGCACATTCTACACACCCTTTGAATTGTTTCAATTTTCCCATATAAATTATTTTCTGTATAGCTTATCTTTCGTTGATTTGTGTCTATATACATAACATCCTTGATTCCTCTGACCTTTTACAAAAGCTGGAAATCTTGAAAAATACATTAGGCTAATTGAAATAGTGAAATATCTAGTTACCATGAAGGGAATATTCAATTGTAATAGAATGTATATAGCTACATATAACTAGCCTGTACTGATAGTTACAATTCCCAAACATGAGTTAAAGTTGAGCTTATAATAAAAATATATAATTATTAATGTATTTTTTCTTAAACAACACTTGAGGTGCGATTAGGGAAACAGTGTGTGTAATCCAAAGAATTATTTAATCTTTGTCATTTTTCAATCTTCGTCTCTGTTGGTAAACTTCATCCAAATCATTGCACATATCAGTCTTTAAATGTCAGAGGTATCAATGAATTGGATCATGTAATGACAGATTCAAAGATCAGTTAGCGATTACTTAACATCGAGAAGATTGTTTTATTGCGTCTAACTTCTCATTAGTGTTGCTCACGTGTTCATGTTAACAACTTATTTGTTATGACTGGCGCCCTTTACAATGTCTTTATCTGCAAGATATTAGATAAATATCTTGGTTTTGAAAATGCAATTCGTTCACCATAGCCTACTCAGTGTAAGCATATAGGCAAAATAGTAGATGTTGGCAGTAGAGGAGTATTAATGACATTTTATTTGTCATCGGTAAGCATTGCCTGTAACGTGCTAAATAGAAAAATATATCACTTATATTTTGGCGAGGAAAAATAGCATTATGATAAAAACAGAAATTGCGTAAATGAAACATTGATATTAGGTGTATTGTTTATATTAATATACATACCTACCACTAATGCCCGCTAAAGGAAAATCTGATAAGCTAACTCTTAATATAAAAAACTAAATATTAAAATGTTAATCAACTTAATAAACAAACATTTTCGTTTAAAAATATAGGTCACCAAGAATCAAATTGTAATATTCATATAAACGAAATTTGTAATAAAATATCTCAATGAGTGGGTTTTCTAAAAAGGGTTAGACTGTACCTCACAATTGAAACTACTAATATGATTTATAATGCGATGGTCTTACAACTGTCTTACTATGCTGATGTGGTCTGGTCTAATTGCGGATCAACACTTACATGTTTACAAAATACTTCTGACAGAATTATTCTCCAGTATGTACTTAGGTCACACTCAAATGATATGCTGAAATCTTTGAAATGGTTATCATGTAAGGAACAAACTGACCTCCACAGGGCATATACTTATTTCAAAATAATACATAATAATACAATTGCTGTCGTATTGTTCTTCAATTGTCAAGCCTATAGAACAAGTGCATAATTATTACTTAATTAGGGGGACATTATTTCCCCTGCACAAAGTAATTCAGCTAAGCAAATAGTTGGCTTCTCTACAGCTGTTATTTGGAGCAGTTTACATACGGTTGTAAAAATCTGAGTTAAACTCCTGGCTAGCTTGTGTTTATAAATATTTGTTACAAACAAATTAAATTGGATCCCTATTTAGAATTGTAATGTAATTAAATTCCATTTTTCTATATATTCTATATGTACCTGAATTTTAGTGATAATTGGGTGTAGAAATTGTGGCCATGAATAAATTAGTCGTTCAGCGGTCTTTGGTAGTGAGGCTACCCAAAAATGTAAAAGTCCATGTAATAAGTGTGTAACTACATGAAATTAGGTCACATAAAATTCGGGTACTTTAGTTGAAGTCGGTTCCAAAGAATGAATAGTTCTACTTGAATTTTATCTGGCAGAAGTTGATTAATAGGCAATCTTATACTTCGTAATCTGAGTCTATCAGGATAGTTTGTCTGTTGAACTATTGGAGCTTAGTGGACGACTGGGGAACAGTGTGACTGGCCCCTACATGGCACCTTGCAAAACCCGATGAACTGAGATAACCATTTAAACTCCTGTGTATGACAAACAAAGATTTGTGTGAACAATAGATGGAGTGATGTGCATCTACAGTGTGTGGATATATGATTTCCAGCGTTCGGGGGAATGTATGCTTCATCAGTAATCGAGCAATGCGACTATTAAAATAGTTAAGTGTGAATAACTGATCGAGTACTGTACATAGTGATTTACCAATGAAATGCGAGACAGAAGCAATGTTATACACAAAAAACTGGTAACGGTGCTTAGAGCAGGGATCAGTGAATCATTGTGCGACAATCACCTGAGTTTTTCGGACACATCTTCTTTTATTATCGCCAACGACATTCATTTTATTAATTATTAATATACATGTCGACTTATACTCGAATTAAGTAGATTATATTTATTAAATCTTGATAATCACTACGCTACTACGATAATCAACTACTGGCAAGACGAATATGCGTTGAACGTGCTTAAGTGCTGTGACTTTTTACTTTTGAGTGAAGCAAATAATTTAATTAATTTGGGTGGCTTTTGCTTGCTTGTTTTTGTATTTTGGATATAATTGATGCACAAATCCCCAAATAGTACACTTTTATTCAAATAACCCACTCATAACATCCGCCATGAAGATTCTAATTGTGGGGGGGAGGATGTTAATAAACCGATCGTAATATAGATTGTGTGTTCTGGTTAGATTTCCACCCAACGCCGTGACATAAGGTTAATTAGGTCAAACGTTACATATGGGTGAATTGATAATATAACCGCACCCACTCCTCCAATATCACATATCCCCAGAGCGATGTCTCATCGAAAATGTCAAAAACATTTTATCGCAGTTGGAATATCCTCAATATTCAGCATTCAAGAATCGGAATTTAAAACCATCGTCAACATTTCTTTTGCAGTTTTCTCTAAATTCTCCCTGTAGATCGTAGCGTTGGTTTCCGCATCTTTCTTCCAGGATGTTACATATAACGTTAGCCTATAACAAAACAAAAAAGCAAATATGTTTGTTGACGCAGAGGCACATTATGTATGACAGTCATTCTACAAACCAAACTGAATTCGATATAATTTACTATATAGTACTTAATAGTTTGGTATTCGGGAGAAAGTACGTAAATATGAAATATGTGGGGGGATACAGGTGTAATAGTTAATCTACAAACTCACCCGTTTTTTGGAAAAGAGTAGAATACAGAATATCCATTTGTGCACATCGGTGGCACACCTGCCAATGTTGCCTGGTATCCAGTCAGTGATGATGATAAAATGAAACTACCATTTCCACCACTGTCAAATAATATGATTAAAAAAACATGTATTATATCGTACACGTTCAACTCTTATACAATATGATTTATTAATTATCCTATCTATGTCGAAACCTTTCTTTAACTACCGTTTTGCTTATAGACTTTCCGACTGTAGTGCATTTCGTTTCAATGAAACTCCAATAGATAATTGTTTGTGTTACGTCCTATAATATTGACACGTTCTGTCCTAAATAGTCATATTAATTGCGCCGATCTGATTTTTTTTTCTCATATAAGAATCGACGTTAAGACTGTAAGTGTATTACATTGGAAGTGTGATGGCTAATAAACACCTTGAAATACAGATGATCAGCCATGCCACTACTTATTATACTGTGACAATTGTCCTCACCTTTTAACATAGGCAGGGTCCTTATACAATTCTGGAAGTGGGATTCCATTTTCGGAGGCAATTAATTGTAATCCCAATAAATGTCGATCACATCCCTCATTGTTTTTACATTCCTCCATCATCTGCACATGCTTATTAATTGCATTCAGAAATAATTGAAACCTATCGGATGGCTGACAATTAAGAATAGTCAAAAGACAGTATTGTGGTTAATTGTATATGTAATCTAATTATAGAATTATAATTATCAAGCGTAGCTTTTTTTTTCACTTAGTGTCTGTATCAAACGGGAAGTAGTAGTTTTACTGTATAATAGTCACAAATTCCGCCACTTGCATTTGAATACTAAAATAAATAATCCGCTTTAGCTAGGCGGCTTTAATGTAAATGGTTAATGTGATTGGATTGGCAAGGAAATCAGAAACTAACATAGAATGCGAATATAATCAGTACATCGATTATTTCGAGTCATTGATTCCCAATAAAAAGATTTATTCCTGCGTGGCAATCACAGGTGGTTTCATAACTTGCATTTCAGATTAATAAAACCATCGAATTTGCGTGTATTGTTGATTATAATATTCACTCTATGTCATAATTATCCATATACTCACTGAAACATTGACATCAATCATAGCTTTGCACCACTGTATTGCTTCCACAGTGCATGTTCTCAATGTTTCTGTTCTGCCATGATAGAACTGACGAGTTGTTGCCGTCTCATATGTGGGAGCAGGTCTGTCAAATTTACAACGTCAAAGTTCTCATTCATGAACAGTTTAAAAGGTGCAAATCACACAATACAAGACACGTCAATAAGTTTTCTGTGATAAATGTTTTCAAACAGTGGACAAGCAATAGGAAAATAACATTCGTCCTCTAAAAAAGAAACATTACGAGTAATACAGTAATGCACTGCCACGCCTTCTTCTGTACCCTTTTTTTCAAAGCTGGGTGACTGAGTGACTCGAGTTGAGTTGCAGTCGAGACGTACCATGCATATAATCCAGGATTTGCTACGTTGAAAAAAAAATTGTCGGTAAACAGTACGTTTAGATCTGAGTTGCAAATACTCTTGCAGTTGGGAAATGTAACCTATTGTAAATGTACGAGATTTTTGTTGTTCTATATTACACTATTAGTATACCAAAAACATATTTAAAAATATTGATATCCCATAATATTGGTATTCTCTCAGCATTATCTAAATTATGTAACATGTTACAGCATGTTTCAGGCGACCAACCACAAATGACTACCGTCATTTGACGTCATTTTCATTTTCATATAGGCAGTCAAATATTCAGACCCAAATTACTCACTAAGTAACAGTATATAGAGTAGATTTATTTTAATACAAACATTTTACACATCACAATAGTGTGACAATCAGTCAGTGTTTAGTGACTGTGAAATAGCATACCTGTTGTACATCTTATAGTAAGTATATTGCATTGCCAACTGCATAAAAGCATCTGGATGGACTCTCTTGGATTTCAACACACCCCGGTCAAAATGTGTTCTGTTGATAGTGAGTTCAACATTCTCTGCCTGTAAAACCAAGTTAATGAAAATGACTAAGTCCTTGTGGCCTCCCATGTGCTAAACACCAGACATCGAAGATCCAGTTCCAGAATGACAGAAATGCTTGATGTTGATGCCTTTTTAACATTAAAATGGATATCATTCGGTAAATGTACATAAACATGTACATGTTTAAATGTGAACGGCCAAGGCATATATGGTCCTGGAACAGCATTCGTTAAAACAAAGTGGCCGCCAGTCGGCCATTCTGAATCTGATCTAGTAAAAAATTGCGTGCATGTTCTACGGACAAGTAAAAGTGAATGGTATCACATTCTTGAATAATTAAGTAATAAATTCGCACGGTTACAAATGTTGATAGCATCGAGTTACAATTCTTGTTGGTAGTGACAAGTTACAAAATATGACACTTACCTCTTTCTGGTACTGTTCAGCAGCTTTCGAAATTGTCTTGGTTATGTAGTCATCCACAGAGAAATTTAACCCATGTGGATCTGGCAGTTTTCTTGCCTCGATTGACCCCTACTTGCCAAAAAAACAAACAGTATAGACGCATTTGAAATATGCATTTCGATATCGCAATCTGTAATTGACATGTACTGTACATCACGTCCTCCCAATGCATAGCAGATAGTGTTTGAAAAGTTCTTAGTATAAATACTACCATCTGTCAATATAGGGAATACGTAACGAATAATGGCAAATAATCACCATCTGGTTCGTGGGCGTTGCACAATTCTCATCCGGCGGGTATATCTGCCTGACCTGACTGGTCTGTTTTTAGGGTGTTGATTTTCTGACATGTATGTTATATAGATGTTCAGAGGATAAATTGCTTAATATTGGTCATAATTTAAACATGTTGCAAGTGAATGAAATATTATGACACAATTAGGGCAATGATAACGTGGATAGCACAAATAATATACAATATGTTGTGTGCAGTATTTGCATGTGATACGCTATATTTAATCACTTTTTGTTGAAATGTATTTTTGTATATAATGGTTGCAAGGGACCTACACTGTAATTGCCTGTAATGTTTATATCCATGTAATAAACTAACAGTCCAGTCTGGGTACATATTGTAAATGGAATATCAAAGCATTCGGCCTAGACGTTTTCAAAATAACATTTAGTACAAATTTAACCATTTGGAAATTACTATCACAAAGAGAGATATAACTAACATATTTTCACGGTGAGTATCACGGTTATGCAGCTGGAAACTACACTACTGGAAGCCTGGCTTGAAAAATGAAATATAGGATAACATTGTCCACAACATTTCGGCTCGCATATGTCCCCGCCGCATGACACCACCTGGTCTAACCCTCCGTTTCACAAACTGTCGACAATTTCACATTCACGGAACAATAAATAACCTGTACTGTTGTCGAGTTAATTTAGTGTGGCCCGAGTGTTTTTACCAATCCGCGTATGGTCTCTCGAGGTGAGAAATATATCATCAGATTTAAAATTTTCATTGCTAATTTGTAACATTAGTTAGTATACGGTAAATAATTATACTACGTAGCTACTCATAGTAATTAATAGTAGAACTCGTCGGTAATGTGTGAAAACTGTAATATTTTGTGAAGCCATATTAATGGCATAATGATCTCATGTCAAACTGCAGTAATATAATTGTGAATTGAGTTTATCTGACGTACCTTCCAGATGCCATCTTGCGAAGAAATTCGGTCACGCGTATGGAACACATGATTCACTAAACAGATTCCATCGATAACAGTGTGCTGAATATTAATCACATTGAAATACTTTACATACAACATAGATGTACGAAAATGGTCACACTGGTAGTTTGCCAAATGATCTAACAGTCATATGAAGCAATATTCTACACATTTAATAAATACATGTAATCATTTGAGCAATTATATAAAAAAGGAAAGAACTGGGATGTATAATGTAGTTGAAGGTCGCCTATACTTATTCAAAATTGTCATACAAACAGTCATTCACCCAAACACAACAAGGATGCATATATGGAATTTGCGTCCTATATTTCATACAGGGCCTAAACTAGTGCCATCGAACTCGAATTCCATCAGGATATCCATGATGTGTGGTTCATTTAGCAATAAGTCCCCCGTTTCGGACTTCCAATAGAAACTAAAAACAAGGCAACAGCAACAATAAAACTAGACTTCTTTTTCAGACCTATTTATTGCGTGCCAAAGAATAACAAAAGCAGAACCGAGCACGGTTAAAAACACACGAGAGATAAAGAATCACTTCCTGGTTTTAACCTTGAGGTTTATATATCATTCTTCTTAATGTTTGTGAATACGCCGGGACTGAACATTTCATTTCATGTAGTACACTAATGTCTGTTTTACTGCACACACAGTTCTGTGTGTGTGTCTTTGTGTGTACTTTGCCCAATGCATAGTGTTATTGTTAAAAATTCCAAACAACTATTAATGAATGGGTATGTCCGTGCTTCTTTTTATACCTAATTTTAATAATAAAGATTCGAAATTCTGAGTTAACATGGTAATTTCATTCATGATATATCCTATAGAAAGTATCTGCAATTAATGGAAAAAATAATAATTTCATTTTGATACTATTGGTAAAATGGATAACATTTTAAAATAATGTACGATATGATGTATGTAATATTTGCATGTGATACGTTATTTTAATCACTGTAATTGTCTGTGATGTTTATAGCCATGTAATAAACTAGTAGTTTGGAGAACATTCTGTAAATGGAATGCCAAAGCAATCGGCCTGGTAGTTTTCAAGATAAACCCAAAATAACATTTAGCATCAAATTAACCATTTGGAAATCATTGTCACAAAGAGAGATCTAACCAACATACTTTCCTGGTGAGTATCACGGTTATGATCCGGGACTGAACATTTCATCATATATTGACTCCAACAGTATACACGAAGTGATGTCAGATGTTTCGAAACAGTGAACTCTTCCTACTCCAAATGTGGCGCACAAGATAAATTATGTTAAGTCAAAATTAAATGGTTTCTATAGAAATAACATAATATTGACGCTGTCTTGGATCATCTGCGTACAGAAGTACCATAACTAACATGCAAATTGACTGATGTTCGAAAAAAGGGTTTGACGTTTTTTGTACATTTATGAATCAATGTGTTTTAAACAATTACAAAAAGGTATTCCCAAGCACATATAGAAAATTATAGAAAACCTAACTTCGAACAGTTTTTGATTAAATTAAAGTTATACTATGTAAGGTTTTAAAACAATGGAATCGTCACTGAATTATTATAAGTAGCTCTTTAACATACACATATGCACGTGTCAAAAGGTTTTCGAAACAGGTTCGCAAACAAAATCAAATTCAACGCCAGATGTGAAAATACAAAATAATACCTACGTCAAAGTTAGCACCAAATGTTCCATTTTCAAAACTGATAAGAGTATAGCATTTATCAAACCATCGGCCTTGGCCATTACCATATAGACATTGTTCGGAAATCTGAATATCAATTTATAATAATGAATAATAATAATTATAATAATAATAATAATAATAATAATAATAATAATAAAGGTCATATTTGAACTTGTTTGGCAACTAACTGAAATGTTGTAACAATACACATTCGCTGTAATAAACATGTACAATGCGTGAGCGTTTTATGGTTCCACGTAATCTAATGTACAAATCATCATTACAAAACTGCTTTATTGAACATACTTTCAATGACAACACTAATGCACGCACTAATGCATTTCGAGTATCAACAATAATCTTACCTCTTTTTCTGTTTTTGCTGAAGTATCTTCAAGGCTTATCATTAGTAAACTGGATTCAATATCATTAAGAATAGATTCATTGTTGGCATCAAGTTGGCGCAAGTGTGTTCTCGCCTTTGAAGAAAAATCAAAACTGTTATTCTATAAAAGCACTTATATGAATATATAAAATTGTATAAATACTACACTTCCAGACCCAAAAGTGACAAGATAGGAAAAGACCACAAAGTAAATACAGTAAGAAACATTCATTTTATTAATATCATATCGAGTCGTACAGTACCTCCGCCCATGCAGTTCTGTCCAATGCTGTCAACATACCCACACTTGGTATACTAGGTTTATTATCACATGCGCTCTTGATATATTGTAATTGCCTGTGTAAGAAGTGTAATATTTATTTTTAAAACAAGCTAGCTGTGACCGCTTGGATTCAGAAAGGCGTTTGGTTCTTCACTAACTTTCGGAATTACTGACTTTGTCTACAAACTCATATAATATCCATTCCCACATTATAAATTATTAATATCACACCTCTAAAGCTCATATGCGGCCATTCAAATACCGCACAGCCAGCACTGCAAATATCAGTTAACAATTCCTTAAATCGCAATGTCATTGTTATAGTGTGCTATGTTCACATGTATTGCATTCGTGCATAAGAACTCATTTATAAATGCATTGTTGTTAGATGAATGCGTTACAAATTACGATTTGTATCATTCGCAAGACATAGTAGATAGTATATTAATTTAATACCTTTGTAGTTCTGGAGCAGAAAGTATTTTCCCATCATCGTACGTGGCCTTGAATCTATAAAAGTTACCCTTTCTCAAGACAATAATATGATCTGGACAGTTTCCTTCTTTTGCTGAAATAAAAGATAAAAAAGCGTTATTTTTTGTAATCTAAAAACTTCATTGATGATAGCCAGTAGATTACAAGATATATGTTTAACTGTAAATTTAAAAATCGTCTTACCAGTTTTAAAATATCGTACGATGGTATCTATCTCTGTGCCTGGAACTCTGCTTGTATTGAACAGACTCAGGTATTGGGTCATAGAAATTTTGTTTCCATCACGATCAGTTTCCACTGGAAGCGTCTCTCTAATATTTACAAAATATATACACAAATTGGGGAAAAAAATTATTCAATTATTCAAACCTGTATATAATGTCGGTATATTTGGTACCAAGTATCAAATACTACAGGTACATCAAATACTGCATCACCAAATATCATCGCCAAACTGTGAAACAAAATATGTTTGGCACAATAGACATAAACTTACCACACATATACAAGTGGGTATCGAAAAAAAAAACTTACTTTCTCAGCATTTCCCAGTATTTCAATACATTCCATAATACCAACGCACATCGCTCCACTTGTGTGCCTTCCTTTGATGGCCACAGGTCCATGAGCGGAAACATAAATCCAAGGTTGGCTCCACCAAGAGGTGTCGAACCTCTAGCAGACAAATACGCAATATTCTCCCACCAAACTTCAAGCTAGAGAGAAAAAAAAGAATATATTTTTGAGCTTCAAATTTAAGTATCCGTAATGAATCTTACACAATATATCATTGGTCTACTATAAATCAAAGTGCAATCAGTTGCTAATTGATTATATCCTCAAATCCATCATGGGTGTATGCATGGGTGTATACGTTATGTGGCTGTCATGCATTTAAATGCATATTTACGCTGAAGCAAGATAGATTTACTAAAGTGATGTCGGTTAAAGCACATACATTAAAATTTCGTATGTACCTAGAAAATTATAAAACTAATGTATGAGCGAGAGCAGTTATGAAGACGAGTCCTAATTCATGTATGAATACTTCACGGAATATAGAGGGGGCTGCTAGCCAATCTAGTCACTATATTTGGATTTGTATGAGACTGATTACAAATAAAACAGCTTCTAAGTGTTTATAAGTATACTAAAAATAATGAATTTGCCTTTAATTTGCTGGCTGCATTGTAACTGTTGGCTGTCCGATAAGGAATACATATATTTGATATTTCTAAATAAATTTCAAGGTTACCCAATTTCTTTCCGCTTCTGCTTTTTCCAATAACTTCATGTGAAGCTCTTTACCAATGCCATCACCAAATGCCTTGACAATGCTTGTAGTGTTTTCCAATTCAGCTGGTGAAACATGCGGCTTAACTAAATACATATAAACAAAATGGTAATATGTCAGAAACTCCATTAGCTAATGCGAAAACAATCTCGTTGTTAGCTATAAATTCCCATAAATTAGCTAAAATAAAATGCTAGCTGAAAAGACATGTTTCACCATATTTTGGCATCTGTATTCATTTGGCTCAGCGTTACACCAATTGATAACATGTAGGAACCTAATTAGCATTGCCTGTCTTAATTAATGTTGTGAATGTGTCGACTTAACAATTATGATTACAAATGACCTGTAATTTGTCAAGGTCTCAAGGTTATGTTCACCTATAATCTGACCTCAGACTACTATAGATATAATTTGTTAATCTAAAAGTCTAGGTTTTGTGATTATTACAAATATTTTAGGCGGTCGACATTGCTCTAATTGATGTTCTTGGTTAGATGTAGTATATATGTAGATATAGTAAAATCATCAACATCTGTCGGTGCTTAATGTGAGAATTAAAGCAGGGGGGTCGTCACCTGCGCACGCACGGGAATTGAGACCCAAGCGACGATAACAGCACACACTAAAAACGCAAAGGCTCGTAGGTAAACGTTTGTTTGTAAACAATGACACACTATGGCCATCTGACGCATGCGCAGGTGACGACTCCCTCGCTTTAAGCTTAATCGGTGTAACGATATATGGTTACATACCAGATTCTATATATTTACTGAGCGTTTGTTGCAATGGTGGCACAGGTAATGGCGGTAGTGTGTCGTCATATTGGAATGTGCGCTGTATCGTCGTCGAAGTCGAGAATCTTGATAATCGTGAAACATTCAAGTTTAACCTAACCTGCAATGTAAAATGAAATGAATTAAAATAGGTCAGTAAAGGAATGTAACAGTACAAACAAATCTAAATCTCGTCGGAATTCAACAATTTCGGAACATCATACAATATTAAAATTTCCAAATTAAGGTCATTACCATGAATTCTGCGTTCAATTGTATCTTTAGCTTTGCAGAGGATGGCTTGATAAATAACATGTATACTCTCACATGCACCTGGCAGTCCCAAATATTAGAGTACCCTCTCTCTCCTCCCGATCGTAAACGCAGGTGGGGTTATTCCAGCAAACGTGATGTGTGTGAAGTGTTTTTTTTTTATTTGCACGGAGAGGATTTATAATTCCCGCAACTACAACGTCGCCGGCGTGTAATCTAATCAATGGAATGCATCGGTAATTTGTATATTAAACGGGCCGTAACAAATAACCTGGTTTCAGTCGTAGGGGTCACGGTAAACTCCGACAATAATCTTCTATATATCATTAGCTAACGTGATTGTCAAATCGCACTAATAGACGTGCATATCTAAGCTACATGTAATCGTGTTATCTTCATGAATGCTGAAACCAGAGTTCAAGCATCAACCCCAATGACGGACGAATTAACCCTCTCGGCAATGAATTAATGGACTACAGCGAAGCTACAGTAAGCGTACATCAATAATCGTCGGCGCCAGGCTACTAAGTAGCCTCTGCAATAAAATGAAAGTGACACGTAAAAAGTGCTGCCTACCATGGAAGTTGTATTCCTCACTAGTCTACGTGGTATTATTGACAGCATGTCGGTTACCGAACACCATATACGCCTCGGCTTAGAGCGATTTCCATACGAGGTTTGCACTTATGTATGCAACGGCAACCTTTGTACCTATGACCTCATATACACGGAGGTCACCGATCATGTGTCACGTACGTACGCGCATACCTATAACAGTGTACCAAACATATAATGGATATGATGAAAGAAATATACAGTGCAGTTATACAGTCAAACTTTACGTCGACTTAAGGGGCTCAATAGACTGGCTAAGTCGGGACTTCTTTTTTGTTTTACAGAAGAAGAAAAATTAATTGTCAATTTAGCCTTTTTAGCGTGATCGCCAAAACTAGCGTGACCGCGAAAGAAAGTGGGGATTTCTTTCAAGGTCACGTTAGTTTTCGTGATCACGCTAAAAGGACATAAAACAATTACTTATTTCTTTTTGTAAAACAGAAAAAAGTCCCGACTTTGCCAGTCTAGGGGCTCAACTATGACACCATTTAAACCTCATTTGAAGGGGTAGCATTAGCGATCATTCGTGTAATTTAAGTGCATGAAATGCCCAATCCAGTCACTGGGGTGCGGAAAGTGTTACAACCAATAAATCGTTAATATTGATGATTTAAATTCAAATGAACTTAAATTGGATGTAACCACACATTTTTTTTTTAAACCACGGTCAGCTCAACATGGATTTATATGGTCAGTATTGACAATTTTAATCAAATATATATATACACATATTCTTAAAAACTGTTTATTTATTTATTTTTTAAATTAAAAAACAAACTCAATTCAGTCGCCCTGGCGCTTGTTTATTGGAGGAGGGGCTATGCAAAAAACTGCATTTATCAGTCGCACAAATGTATGTTTCACGGTCATGTAGGCATTCGTCCGTGG